CAGGCAGGTATTTTGGAGATTAGACGAGGGTAATTGCAGCTATCACTTACCTGCCCTCACGCAACTCCATGAAGGTGCTGATGGCTCCTTGGCCAGCCATGGTCAATTCTAGAGCTGTGTACCTTCCTGAGAGCTGGCCCAGGTGGGGCCATAAACGGGATGAACAGTGTAGCTCAGTTCATGGATGACAGATTCATAACTATTCCTAGAAATCAGGGTATCTCTGACCTTTTGCGATTAACGTTGTGAACAGAAACGATTCTACACTCCCAGAGAGTGTGACTTCAGCACTAAATCACAATCTCCCCAGACCTGGCTGCCTCCCCTGGACTCAGCCTCACTTGACCTTATCTCCTTAAAAGGCCTTATCTTCAAATCTAACCATTTTAGGACTTCAACATATGAATTTTGGAGGGAGACGATGCAATCCATCACACTAACACTGTCACAAGGATTACCTCCGATGATGCATAAGCAAGACCTAGCCTTGTTCCTAGAGCATTGCAAGTGCTTATTGGATATTGGTTCCCTTACCTCCTCCCTGTGCCACTCACCTCATTGGTTACTTTCTTTCCACACCAGAAACCATCTTTGCATAGGTGGTGTGTAGAAAGTTGCAGAGTGAACGGAGGGATTCCCAAGATTTCTCTTTGGTAAAAAATTTCTCCCTTCTCTTACTGGTGTGGTTTCAGATGCCCCCCTGGGCCACTCTCTGAGAAGCGACATCCCACCCAAAGAGCTAGGCTCAGCCACAGCAGCTTGTCCTTCTTCAAGACCCTGGATGGACAACTCAAGCCACATTTTTTCTCTTGGCAGTTTGCATTTGCGATTCAGTCCCTGCTGAAGGGAGAAATCCAGTCTGCAGAGACAGAATGAGGTTGATGATAATATTAATAGGTAACATTGAGTCAGTGTGGACCAGGTACTGTTCTAAGGGTTTTTCACACATCATTGCCACAACCCCATGAGGTAGATATGCTCACCATTCCCCCTTTGACAGGTGAGGAAAAGGGGGATGCACCAGACATAACACAATTACTTGGGAAATGTTTTAAAATATACCTGCCCAAAATATCAGTGGGAAAATGACAAAGCAAACTGTGACATGTGCGTGCAGGATGTAATTCCACTTAAATGAAGCCTGAGAACTAGCAGAACGACTCTTTGGTGGTGGAAATCAACCTGGAGAGGTGATACATACTGAGATGTCACACAAGGGAGGTTTATGATGAATTTTCTGTATGTAGATCTGGGTGGTGGGTTTATCCCTATGAAGTAACCATCAAGTTGTACGTATACTTAAGACTTGGGCTTTTGATGGAATATGAATTATATCTCAATACTGTCTAACGTACTATAAATACACACACACATATGCCCATCCAAGTCTCTACCTTAGACCCAGGAAATAAGATGAGTAAGCCATGGGAACAAGGGATAGAGAGAGGATGTGTATCTTTAAAAAGCTTCCCGTTTTCTTCCCCTTGATTATGTTAGCTGCCAAATATCCGTTTGGGAATTGGAATTAGACTGCAGATAAAAACAAAGGAAGTAACCATAATTATATATGACTTTAAAAATTAGTCGGTCCCTGGACATCATCAGTTTTCTTAAGAGAGCTTGCCTGCTTTCCAGTTTGCTTTCATGGGGGAGCCTGTTTTGTGTTGCTTTCAGTGATTTCGCTGTTTGGAAGGTGGAAAATTAATAAATTACCATGAGGAACACACTGAGGTAGGAGGAATCATGGAGGCCCAGGAGATTCTGCCTGTATTTGTAGTTTAAATAAGGCTTGTAACAAGTTGAAATATTTTGGGGGTTATTTATATCGACAGGTTCCTAAAATTACTAAGCTTTAAAGTAAATCCGTAGTGATGTATTTGGGACCTATCCCATCAACCAAACTCCTGTTCACTCTGGTGCATACTGAGGAGACTTGAGTGTGATGCAGACTTGGGATATGGGTTGCTTTTTGCCTTTATGGTAGAAGCTTGTGACTAGCTCTTATATATTTATCTAGAGAATGAAAGGCTTTTTTCACTTAGACTTCCTATTTAAAAAATAGTTACTTGCATGTTGTGTGATCTATTCTAAAGAAGGAGAAATGTAGCTAGAAATGTAGCTGGTTAGGTGTACTTTATGGGCTTTTAAATGAATAATGTTTTTAAAAAATATTTAGAAGTCAAATTATTTAAATTAAAAATGAGTCTACAAGGTTAGCACTACTAGATCTTAGCTTTTTTTTTTTAAATCCTCACCCAAGGATATGTTTTCATTGATTTGAGAGAGGGAGGAAGAGATAAAGAGAGACAGAAAGAGAAATGATTGCTTGCCCTGTGTATACGCCCCAACCAGGGATCGAACCTCCAGTCCAGGTAAGTGCCCTGATGGATAATCAAACCCTCAACCTTTTGGTGCATGGGAGAACACTCCAACCAATTGAGCCACCCAGCCAGGGC